GGGAGTGCACTGCTCGAGAGCATAAATTGTCAAAAAGAAACCCGGACCGGTCGTGTTACCCGCCGCATATTTGAGAAGAGGTCCTTCGGCTGCGGCACGGCTGCTTAAGTTATTCAGCAAGGAGCTCAACGCCTGATTGAACCCATTGACATCCGATGCGTTGTTAACATTAAGAAGTATAGCCGAAGGACTGGATTCCATGGATCCAAAGAGTTGTTGACTTGAGTAGTGTAACGTACAGAATTCCGACCATCCGATCGCCTCTTTGTAGTTGGGACATCGCTGCTCGAGCTCGGAGACGGTCTCGTTCAGGCAACTTCTGCAAGCGTCCTCTTTTTGGTCTCCCCTGCAGAGTCCGATTACATTGACCTGGTCAGGGGTCTGACCGACAGACAAATTGTAGAACCCATAACTGAAATCGGCCGTGGTGGATAGCTGAGAAAACAGAAGGTTGAGGTTGGTCCCGTAGGTGCTGTTTGCGGTGAAGTTGCCATTGTTAGCACAATTAAACTGGAAGTAAGGATCGGCAGAAGAAACGAGATTTATGAGAAAAACAGAGAAAAATAAGATCAGAAAGAGTCCTGAATATCCCATTTGCCTTCCTTCAAAACCTTCTAAACCCATGCATTTAAAGGGAAAATAGCCATTGATGTCTGATGAAATTGGTGTGAAGTTATGAAGTTGCCGTTAATTTAATATGCAAGTATGAACAGATGGAAGTGGTTGATGACCAAACTGCCGCCATCCAATGGATGAATTTGACCAATTGCTCCCCGGATACCATATTAAAGTATTCATGGTCACAGATAAGCATGGTTTTAGCTTAAAGCATTCAAAGGTCCCAGGTAAGCCTGGTTTTAGCTTAATTAAATTGGTATTGTTGACTATTTTTAACTTTTGTGTTCTAAACAAATCTAACAAAAGGGAAGACAAAAGAGTTTTGAGTTTTCTTTCGCAGATGAAACATCTTTGTTGACATTTGACAATGACTGAATACCATTCTTTCCTCCCCTAAATATCACCGCGAAGCTACATCTTGTTCCAAAATGAATGACAACTCGTTAATGACCACAATTCATAATAAAAGTTATACAAATGTTAAACTTATACCATTCTATTTTATTTGTCACACTATAAAAAAGAGATGGTATGATTTTTTTTTAAATTTTAATTTTAATTTTAATTTTAGTTACATAATAAATAATAATCTTCTCGTATCCTTAAACTCACTTTCCCTTTTGCTAGAAGTAAATCACCACCTAGCAACTAGTACTTAGGTTTGGTTGTTAATTTAAATTTTCAATATAAAATGAAAGTTTTTTTTTTTTCAATTTTACTTTTATTACATAATAATTACTCTATTTTTTAAAAGGTACATTTCAAGTTCTCAATTTTCTCATTAATAAAGATAAATATAAAATTTTAATTAATAATAAATGTGTTTTTATAAATATTTATATTTTTTACTATAACCATGGTAAATAAAAGTGTAACAATTTACCTGGCCCTTGAGCTCTAGTGGCAATAGTCACCCTGGTGCATTCCCCCCTCCCCGGGCTGGGTTGGAAACTCGCTCCTGCAAAATATGTTAAAAAAAAAAAAAAAGTGTAACAATTTAAATCAACTGAAAGTAATAATTAAGACAGCACATTCATATTGGTAAATCCAACTCTTAGGCTTATTTGGTCAGAGCAGGATTGTTTTTTCGAGCAGATTGTATTTATGGTTGGATTGTTTTGCAGGGATGATTATGTTGTTAGGCAGATAGTTTACGTAAGACTCCTGCATTTGGCTACTTTGGATAAATTTCCTTTCAGTAATTATAATCAACTATGTTGAAAAGATAGTTATATTTCTCTTTTACATTTTAGGTTATTATTATAAAGTAAAACATAATTAGTTACCAAGAAAAAAAAATATCAACTTACAAAGTAAAATATAGCCGATTACAAAATTAAAATAATTGCTTAAAAATAAAATATAATTAATTACAAGTTAAGATATAAGTAAAAAATGTATATTAATTTTGATTTTTAAAATAAATTGGAGTTCCAATTTTAAATTATATCGTTTTATTTAATTAGAATTGAATTTAAAATTTAAAAAATTATATTATTAAATATTGATATTTAGATTTAGATAATTAATTATATTAAAATATATAATAAATTTCTAAATTTAGGTATCAATAATTAAGATAACGAGATTTCAATTTTTAGATATATAGGTTAAAACTCTAATTATTTTTTAAAATCAAGGCTAAGGGCCTGTTTGATACAACGGTTAAAATTCAGTGGATAGCGGATAGCGGATAGCGGTAGCGGGTAGCGGGTGGCGGTTAGCGGATAGCGGATGGCGGATAGCGGAAAGTGAGTAGTGGATGGTAAATAGCGGATTCGATAAATATAACTGTTTGGTTATACAATAATTAGCGGTTGTTGTTTAACATTAAAT